TTGTGTGCCTTCTGCATGTTCTGCTACTGTTTCACGCAAGTTTACTTTGACTAACAGGTGAAAAATTATCGGCTGTTTTGTTGTGTTTTTAACAATGTATTATTTATATTTTTTAATAGTGCACAATGTTTAACTATACGGAGTGATCCTATATAAAAAAATATTAAATAGTGTTCACATTTTATCACATTATTTAGATATACAGTATCATTAATACAGAGTATATAACGTAACGGTATTATGTAAAACAATGTTACACAGTGTTGTTTTCAAGTGAATGCATACAATTTTTACACAGAATGACCTCGCCTTACGGGTCATTATTTGGGTCAACAACGTTACTTTATTTACAAACTGAGCTGTGACAAACGTATACCACACACAGCTTGTGAATACAATAATTGAGAAATAAATTTTACTCAAAACAAAAAATATACATAAATTGCAGTGCTTCTGTTAAGAAAAATATTTACATGAATATACATGTATTATACAAAAGTTATATTTACAAAGTTTACAGTAGATTAACCATGCATGTTAACATAATGAGTAATTTACATAAATATGTGCATTTTTTATCAGTACTTTATGTGTTGCATTTGTCAGGACTTAGTCGTGATGGTTTATTATCCTTATACTTCTTTACTTTTATTTTGGTATATTGCTTTTTGTGACTATTGAATGCTGAGCTGCACTCTATCTATTAATTTGGACTCAAAACTATGCACATCATTTCAATACGAAATATAAGCATATGTGCATCTGCATGTGTGATTCTGTTTGTGTACACCTGTTGTCAATTCACTATTCATTTTTGGTGTGCAAAAGTGTGTTCTTTGCATATCTGTGTACAGTATTGAAAAGCGATATATGTATTATTTTGTGGAAGAATCATTTTAAGGCACATCTGGATCAATTGGAGCTGTGGTGAGAAAAGTGCAAACTTTAAATAAAATATGTAATTCACCAGAGATACTAATTGTGGAATGTGAGTGGACCTACCACTACATGTATATAGAGTGGTACTTTGTTCAACTCTGCTATGAATGAGTTTTGTTACAAGTGTCATCATGATCATATAAAAGATAATTATCACTGTACATGTATTACAGTATAATATTAAATTTGTGTTGCATTTATTTGTTTTCATATAAAGTTTCTGCAAACTGTTTGTTTATACAGTACTGATAACTACCATTGGGTTTCAATTGATATGATTTAGTTGCCAAAGTTTTGAATCGTTTTTGACGTTATAATTTTCATACCATTTCATTTATTTATTAGCTCCAACTTTCCTGTTCAGTCAAGGACATCTATTATACTATTTGAAGTAAATATATCAACTATTTAGAAAGATGTTAGATAGAACGCATAGCAAATCCAAACATATAGAATAAGATTGTCAATTTAATTATCAAAAAACGGAACAAAATGTTGTTAAATGAATTTGAGATCATCATTGTTCGTTCTTGACAATGTTACAATATTTATTTGCAGTAAAATATCCTCTGCTTCATCGAATATTTCACGATCACCATTACCAGTAGATGGACAAATACGATGCGTTTGCGTCTCAAGTCTCTTTCGAATTGCTTTCGCGATCTTAGTTCTTTAGTGACCAATATAGTCGTCACATTTTTTTTTTCTTTATTTAACCGATTGTATCCTATTTCCGATTGTTATATTGTTTGTGAGTGCGAATTAACATGACAGGTGATACATTCATAGCAGGTAGCGCCAACACTGTCGATATACCCGGCCTGCTCATATCTGGTTCATACGATTCCTCAGTTTGTGCTTGTTACCATAGCTTGTCTATCCCTTATTGATTAACGTGATTTGAATTTCGGTAAAATAATGTCGCCTTAATGCAAGGTAGACGTTGTCATAAGATCTCGTTATGAAACCAGGTTGATGGCAAGTGCTTCACATGATGCAACCTTCTTTGTGGTATGATCTTTTTCATTGTTTGACTGCATCTTTGATGTTAACATAGATCTTACTTTCCAAAGTGTTCACTGTTAAAAGAAAGTACAGTAACAAAAATACCAAGGAAAATTGAAAAGGGAAAGTCTCTTATCAATTTGCAAAATCAAAACCTTAAACACATCGCACGAATGAAAGTAACTGTCACATTGCTGACTTGGTACAGGCAATTCCTTATCTAGATCATGGTGGATAAAACCTGATCTTATAACTAGCTAAATCTCAAACTTGTAAGACAGTCGCATACAGAAGGCATATATTGACACTATTTCCTGAAATCTTTATAGACTGAAACTGGTTCCAGAACTATGAAACGGAATGACTGAAGTAGTCCCGATAACATTGTATAAAAGAAAGAATTTCATATGTGACTTGTTATTCATTCGTGCAGATATATACTGGTCTAAACGTTGATCCTTAATCTTATTCGATCAACAACCACTTTCAAATATAGGAATCATTAAAAATACATACATCATTTTATTTTTGTACTCTGTCAGAATATACATGCTCGATCAGGTCCATGTCATTTTTACTACCCCATATTCATAAGTACAATTGACTTATCATTTAACGTAAATTAGGTTTACGGACATAACAAATCTTTAATTTATCCCCTGGAACAGAATTATTTCTCAATTTCATTTTCGTTCTTTTTACAATGTTTTATGTTATTATGTTGCTCAGTCTTTAGTTTTTTATATTGTGTTTTGTATGCTTTTTGTTTTTGTTTTTGTCTTTTTCGTTTTTAACCTTGGTGTTGTCAGTTTATTTTCGACAATTGAGTTTAAATGTCACTTTGGTATATTTCTTTAATGAAGTTTAAAAGACGTTTTATATAATATGTCATGTATTGTAAAGAGAATTATAAAACCATTTGAAAGCCCTATCTATCTTTTTAGCCGATATGTGACAAGCTGATTGTGTATTTAACAGATATTTTGACAGGCAAGACGGATGTGATGCATAATTACGAATGATTCATAAACTGTGAAGGAATCAATCAGAATGAAAAAGGCCTTTGAGTCACAATAATAGTGATACGTTACAGATATTAAATCTGAACAAATATCTTATTCACATGGCATAACTAAATGTACATCAATGCATTTTTGCTTGAAAATGAGTGTAAAAAATAAAGTTGATAAGGAAACGATTTTTAACAAAAATGTATTTGACTAAAATATACTGTACCACATGCGCATTTCGACAATAAATGTCTCTTCGGTGATGTTTGAAGTAAACAAAAAATTGTAAATGCGAATAATGGCACAACTTGGTCAGGTATAAAAGTTATAAATAAAAAATCATAGAATTAAAAGGATAAATTTATGCTGAATAAGAATATGATACATTTTTGTATATTACATTTGCAGTCTTTCTTTAAAATGAGGAAGACGGACAAACATGGCTGAGGAAACGTTATAACTATCAACTATAATATAACATTAAGTATTTCACCAACAATATTGTCAGGTATGGCGTGTCAAACATTGTAATATCACCAAAAAAATGAAATATATGTTCATAAGAATAAATTATTTTCTGTAAAAATTTAAATATGTGCTCGCAAAAAACAAATTATATACAAATATAAAATTTAAAATATGTACATAAATTGAAATATAAATGCGGTAAAGATAAAAATATATTTAAGCAAAAATATTTGATTACAGAAAATAAATATATGTTCATAAAACCAAATAGTTGTCCATAGACATTAGATGTGTATTCACAAAAAAAAACATGTACATAACAAATTAAAATATGTTTTCATAAAATAAAATATATGTTCATCAAAAAAATGCAAATGTTGGTTATATTTAAAATAAAATACTTTCACTAATTTGCATCATTGGATGCCTTGTTTTATGTATAATTATTTACGTGAATTTCTTCCGTTATGTGAAGCCCCCTCGGGAGATGTCAGGGTACAGTGTTATTTGTGTACAATCTCTATAAGGGTTATAGAGAATTGTCACTACTTATATTCAACCAACCACCACGAACAGTCCCCAATGTAATACAAATGGATTCTTAGAACACCGGAAAGTCTGTTATTAAGGTGGTGGAAATCGAAGTAATCAGGGAGTATCGCCAGTCTCCTCAGAGGGAACAGAATACCCGAAGAGATATCTGCAGATTAATCTCTTTATATCACAAATGTGTGTGAAACGGTGATGTTCTGAAAACAAATTGTCTTGAGCTACACAGTATCTGTCAACTGCGGACACAAAGTCATCATAGATGCCAGACTACAGAAGACTCGTTAGTGACGCTCGAATCAAAAAAGTTAAAAAGGCCAAGTAAAGTACGAAGTTAAAGAGCATTGATGACAAACAGGTTTTGCCAAATACATTTCAGCTAAGGTACTCTATTCCTGGGGAAATTACCTGCTCTTTTTTCCAAACCATCTTGAATTATGAACCATTTTTGGTTGAGTGTTTTTCCAACCATCCTAGTTCATTTCCGTTGTTTCGGTTTATTATATTGATACTGCTGAAAGGTCAGTTTTTTTTTACCTTTTTTAGTAATGTTGTTTTAATATGTAATTAATTTTTTGTAAGTCCTGGCATTGGTGTTTGACTTTGTCGACTTCCGTGTAACTCCATGTTATGTTCAATGTAATTTATGAACTTTGATCTACGTGATCTTTTTTCTGTAGTTCTATCTTTTTCATGTGCTATGATTTCGGAGGTTTCATTTTTACTGTTACTGTCAATCCGTGAACTTTTCTTATTTTTCAGAAATAATTATGTTTCTAATTGATTGATTGCAAATTACACGAAAAATTTCAAAACTCAAGCGGTTCGTCTTTATGAATATTGATCGTTTTTATTTCAAACGTTTGTTGTAAATGTTGAAACTTATTATATATAACTAATCGGTTCACGGTCTTTTTACCAAATTCGAATTTAGTCTTTAGAAAAAAAAATATTACATGTATACGCCTATATGGTCTTTGACATGAAAATGTAATAAATATAGACGTCGAAAACAACATGTTCTAATGTATCTGAATCATACGGACGTAAGTAACACATTATTTCTGTCAACATTTCAGGCGAATAAAACAGTAATACTGTTAATCTTTTTTTTTTTTTTTTGATGTTAGTAGCTTAAGAAATAATTATGTATTGTTTTCGCCATTTTCATTAATTTTCCTGTGATATTCTGTGTGATAATGTTCGATCTTAAGCTACACAACTCATGCATGTATATCTCCATTAGTGAGCGAGTATGTAATGACGATATTTGTAAACCACCATAGGCGTTGCTAAAGTTTTGGAGTTTCAGATATTTTGGTCTCGAGTAGCTGTAACCGGACCACTGGCTACAGGAATGGCGTCGATAACGAGATGCAGCACGACTGATTGCAGATGGTGACCATGCCAGCGATAGATAGTGACTAAGACCTAGTCATTTTCATCAGAAAGCTGATTTCAATTCCACTGATAGAATTAGACACAAGTCAAAAGCAGTGTTTGACAATTTAATAGTTCCAGGATAACATACATGTAATTTTACAAACACGGTGGATATTTTTAGTTCGACTGCCTCACTGAAGTAAAAACTTGATGAAACATACACTAGTTGCAAGATTTAAGTCTGAAACGGTCATTTTGATCTGATCAAGTCTGAATAGACTGAGTTTACAGCGAAAGAAAAACGTCAAGACTTTTTCAGACTTTCAGACGCCTTTCCGATTTATACTCCAATTAGGTATTTCAGTTTGTTAAGGCATGTCAAGATAAGACGGAGTGTTCTATCGCGCGATTAAGATCGGTTTATGCGGTTTCACACAAAATCAGACCAAACCTAAAAATTAACTCTCAAATTTGTCAGACCGTGTTTAGATCCGTTCAGTATGCTTGTATGATACTTCGAGTTACGCCTCTTCTGCTTGATGATACATTTTAAATAACAAAAATATATTCAATACTAAAAAACGTAACTTTCGAATGATTAAAGAAGGAAAATCCTCTATTGATTATTTATTTCTGTTGTTGTTTTGTTGAGGAAATAAATAATAACTTATTCGTCAATAAATGTTGCTGGTTTTATTTTTTAAATTAATATTAGTTTATTAATTTATTCATTTATTATTTGTACATCGGCGAATTTAAGTTTATTATTATTTGCTGAAACCTGTATTTCATGATAAAGAATGTATACATGTATATTTTCTATGACCGTGTGACAACATATTTGCAATAACCGGAAATTACATGTATTGGAGAAATCGGTTTTCTATGCAATCGTTACTTACAAAACATGTATGCTATACACCAAACTCTAAAATGTTGTTAACCCAACAGGTTAAAAAATGTAGCCGTAATCCCAAATAAATAGTAAATGATTTTCGACTTTGCAAAAATGTAAAAAGAAAATTTAAACTTAACAATATAAAAATAAGGAGATCTATTATTGACAATGAGAGAACTATCCGCCATATTAGAAGTGAAGTGCACGTTATGAAAATTTCTGGATTCACCACAGTGACTGAAGTTTCTGTTTTCTTAGCGTGTATTGTACAATATATTTCTAAACAATTATTTACTTCACAGTGACACAGTGGTGCATCTAAACGCCATCAAGTCCGCCAAAGTGCATTACGCTTCTGAAACTGCACTATGCCCGTGATGAGACAGTATTAAAAATTATGAATAAAATAACATCGGGTAGAGCTTTTCATTAAAACTATATATTCAAATTCATTTGTTCAGTACTATGGTAGTTTAGTGCAAGGATTTATATAGTAAGATAATACAATGACCGACGAGATTCCAATTCTTCGTACTATATAAATCCTTGGCGTAATTTTAATGTTCTGGTTGTATACCAATGGCACGTGCTTGTAATAAACCAGGTCAACAGGTAATAAAATCAATAATCCATAACACATGCACGAATATTGGCAATTACATGAAATTTTACAATTACACCTATCATAGTATCATAGCCCAGTATGTGTAGTCTAAGGTTCTAACAATATTATATAATGGCTTCTTTCTACATAGTAAAAATGACTAAGTTTAATCTATACCTAAGCGAATTGCAAACCGCAATTTTAAGTAGGAATTAAAAAGATTGGAGGATAGCTGTTTTAAGTAAAAACCCAAAATTCCGAAGGAAGCAGTTTATTTTTATATCTTGTCTTTCGGAAACACATTATTTCTTTTAATGTATAGTTCTTCGATACACAATTAAAAGAAAAAACATGTACAGTTCGGAAGTTTGTTTAATATACCTTAAACAGCAATTTGCTGATATAGATTTAGATTTCCATAAAATGTGTTAAACAATATTTATTTATTTATTTATTTTTTTTTTTTTTTTGTATTTATTTATTTATTTATTTATTTATTTATTTATTTATTATTTATTCATTTGTTTATTTATTTATTTATTTATTTATTTATTTATTTATTTATTTATTTATTTATTCATTGTCCGGGTGAACTTCATCTTCGCTAGTCAAGGGTTACGATCCAGTCCCTCCTCTCCACAGGCTAGCGAAGATGGATGCACTTCAACTCAACCCAAATAGGCAACGCATGTGTATCATGACTACAACCTAAACATAGCAGGGTACTAATGATATATATGTGTGGATTTCTTTTATTTCAGTTACAAAATGAAGCTGAATGTATGGACAAAACTCAGTAAAGTCAAGGATTTGTATAGTGATATCTTACTATACAAATCCTTGGTAAAGTCAACAGCATTGCCGTGAAAGATTTGAGATAGATTAATTAAAGGCATTAAGTACTAATTAAATTTGACTGTCTATAAACGACATGAAATTTTACGACTATGTAAATCAATGCTTGTTCTGGAAGGTTAGACCTATGTCTTTATGTAATAAAAACTCGATAACATCGTTCAAAAAATGACAAAAGGTGAATGTAGACGTGTCAAAATCAACAGTGAATGACTATCAAATTACTGTTATAAACAACATTTTGATTTTTCTTTATCGTGTTGATCGGTTCCGTAACTAAACAAACACCATTGATATGAACAAATTTCGGTATTAATTAATAATTTAGAATTAGATTTGGAAAAATATTTTAATATCTTGGATCTGCACGAAAGTATTACTTTATATAGAACCACAAACCACAGGCTCCTAATAGAGATTCAATAGTTTATTAATGTCTCGCCACATACATAACAATATACTATATACAGTAGAGACAGGGAGGTGGAATATTGATAATAGAAATGATCGAAAATGTCATCATTGTAATATTGGCAGCATTGGAGATGAATATCATTATCTGGTAGAATGTCCATATTAAATGACAGTGCTATTTGGCTCGTGTTAATACACTAAAGTTTAGAAAATTCATGAGCAAATTAAACAACTAGTCAGAGCTTAAAATATTATGCAAGTTCATAAAGTGTGTAAATAAATTTGTGGTCCTCCTGGCTTAAAGGTATGTTATTAAGAAATTGGGACTATAATACTATTAGTTAGTGTAATAGTCCTAGTTAGAAACCCCTGTATTGTCAGGGGCGGATCCAGAACATTGATGTCTGGGTGGAGGCACCATGAAACCAAAATTAAATATTCATTTAGAGATGTATATATTCGAGTGTGGGTAGTAATGGTTGGGGTGTCAGATCATCGTTTCTATAGTTCTATATCTTTTAATGTTTTACCATTTCATTCTATATCTTTATTCTTCTGTCAATTGGTCTCTATTATATTCGTCCTTAACATTCAGGAATTGTTTGCCATTGAACGTTATACAACCAACGATCAATCAATCTATTCTTTATATTTCATTACCCTTTATTTTGTTATCTATATTTTTAGTCCCATTATTCTCTTTTTTGTAAACCCCTATTCACATTCTCAAAAATGGTGACCCATTCATAGCCACATACATGTGCATGGTAATTGAAACAGGAAACTATGTCGTCATATATTACTGTATGCTTGGACTAATAGATACATGTAGTAATACATTAGTCCCAGATTATGTTATAAAATATATCTTATAAAAATACAATAGCATTTAATAAATGATTATAATTTAGAAAATGCCAATCCAATTCCATTTTTTGTAGAAAAAAGGGGGGGGGGGGCAGTTTTTTTTAACAAAATGTTGTTTTCCTTTGGAAGTAAGAGGGAAAAGAAAATACGACATTCAGTTTAAAAAAACAAAACTTGTATGAAAAAAAGTTTGTTGTTGAATAAAATCATTAAAAAGACAGTTTCGAAAAAAAAATCACAAGAAATGGTAATGTGAGAATTTTGTTTATGAAGACATATCTCATATATCGATATAAACATTCTTGGCATCTAACATTTATTTGTATACATTCGTTTAAAACACGGATTTTAGTTAGTAATTTCTTTCCTGATCAGAAGATTTCACCTGTTAATCGATCTTAATCTGTGAAATTGTATAAAAGCATATAGAAATATTTGTATTATTCCAATCAACATGTTCATACATGTAGTTTACATCAAATCTTTTGAAAAGAGACATATTATACACAGGTGTCAATATTTACACACCCACCGATAAGTTGTCATATATCAAATTTGTTTATTGTTTTGTGCATAATTCAAGTTGTTGAGGATTCTCTTTTGGATTTATTTATAATTTCACTGAGGTGACTGACATCTACATGTATATTTCCTATGTGTCAAAAGTGCACATATAATATTATTCGCCATTTTTCATTTGCCTTGTAGCTAGCTATGGGGTATACGATTTTATATTGTTGAAGGCCCTACGGTGACCCATAATTGCTAACATCTACATTCTTTGGTTTCTGGTGGTTAGTTGGCTCGTTGGCAATCATACCCACATCTCCTTATTCTATATTATACAAGACTACACTATTATTAAATGAATGTTTATATATAGTTGTCTGACTTTTGGGAAAACCAAAAGCTGTTCTGATCAATGTTGATATAAATAAATCGATACTTTGACGTATTCTATATGCTTGAACAGTTGAAAATACCAGTTTGGCTATAAACAGTGAAAATGACCAATGTAAATGATA